AGTCGATTATTCTTCTCACAGCCCTTCTGCAATAAGCCGCAAGTCAGAAGTTCTAAACTATTTTGAGTCATAATCGGTGAAGTTGGCAATAGCTAATTTGAACGATTTGGTTAAGACAGGTTAAAGGGCGCAGCACACACTCTTGCATAACGCATAATGCATAGTGCATAAAGGAATCAACCAATCAAAATTCTTCTTTTCCATGGAATGGGAGGAAAGGAAAGATTCTGATTAGTTGATTCGCTTATGCACTATGCATTATGCGTTATGCAAGAGTGTGTGCTGCGGCCTTAAGACTTCTGATGTTCTGACTTGCGGCTTATTGTAGAAGGGCTGCCACATTTAACTGTGATTGGCCAATTTCTTACGGCTTACGACTTGCGACTCTATTGTAGAACAGGCATAATAACAGTTAAATATTCCCCTCTCATTCGGCGGTAAGAAGGGAATACTCGAAGATGATTGGTCAATTTTTACAGATTACGGCATCCCCCTCTAGTAGTATAAGCTCTATAGTGTATACTTGCACTAAGACGGAATATTAGGTAATCATACAGTTTAACACTAACCATCTCAAAAATCAATAAAATTAAGCTTATTCGCGTTTTTGCATGAAATGAAAGAATCTGTCAGAAAAAGGTGTCGCTCCACCCCGCGAACCGAGATATTAAGCGTTAAAGTTGACAACTATTGAGGTTAGGAAATCTGTCAGAAACAAAATGAGGATATTTCTTCAAAAAAGCGACCTCCGATTTCGATAAAATTAAGCTCATTCGATGCGTTTTTGCGTAAAATGAAAGAATCTGGCAGAAAAAGTCTGGGACTGCTCTGCGAAGCGAGATATTGAGCGTTAATGTTGACTTAAGTGTTACTACGTAACACGATCATTAATCTGTCATGTAGACAGTGAAGTGTATAAGTCTAGTGCCTATTGGTTCGGGGCGACATAGCCCCGAACAAAAAAAATAACGTATTCTACCTGCTTGAGGCCTAACTATCTAGAAGTTGCAGCCTAGACAGTAAAAAGACCACTCTAAAAAGACTATTCTCACACCCCACTGTCTTCATGGGTTAGAAATATTCTAAACGGACACTGTCTATGCAGCAACTTCTAGGCGATTAGGCCCTAAGTGGATAGGATATGTTATTTTTTTTTGTTTAGGCGCGGCGTAGTTGTAGAGCGACACTTTTCTGCCAGATTCTTTTATTTCATGCACATCAAATAAGCCTAATTTTATTGATTTTTAAGGTGGTTGGTGCTAAACTATATAATTACCGAATATTATCTAATTTCCTTCTCTCTGGATTCAGTACACGCCATTTACTTGATATTCACACAACGTGATCGGCACTGATACTCGAATAAATTCCTCGTGGCAATCATCTCACAGCAGAAGAATACGAGAGTACTTACTGAATGATGACAGCGTTATTCCGCATGAATTGCATACAGAATTTGCGTCGGAGCTTAGCTCTAATGTCGTCCAAGGAGACAACGATATATCGTAGGATAGCGACAACACCGAGCCGTCATGATGAAATCAAGGAAGAAACAAAGCCTGTCAAGAGAAAGTGGGTGAGTTATGGCTTCAGTCATGAGAACGAATTGGAAGATCGTCATGCTCTGCACCAGACCATGTTTGTCTGTGTAACCATAGTCTTTGTGATTGGATGTACCGTCATGGCCTATTTACCTGATGTCAGAGGCAAGGATTGGGCACAACGAGAAGCTTACCTGCGACTCCGTTATAGAGAAGAACATGGACTTCCTCCTATTAGTCCCAATTATATTGATCCGTCGAAGATAATACTGCCAACTGACGAAGAACTAGGTGATACAGAGATTATCATTTAAAAAGTATGTCTGGATAACACAGAGAACAATTAAACTTTGAGTGTTGTTACTGCCTATCTATAGCCATCTAGTACTTGTTATATTAATTTAAGGTAACATGTAATAAACACTGCTTTTGTGCAGATTGAAATTCTTTATCAATTTGGAAAAAGACAACTCACAGTTTTGCAGTCCTCAAAAGAAAATGGTCTGGATACAGAAGTGTATATATTCATTAACATGTGTACTACTTGTAATTAAAATTATAGATAATACATGGAAAATTAATACAATTTTTTATGATGCAATGTAGTATAATTAGGATTTTGCAATTATTTTATTTATATACAATATTACATTATTTTCTTTAGTACATATTAAAAATGTATTATGCACATCACATTCTCAATATTTATGAAAAGAAATAAAACTTAGGAAGACATTTATAATCTTTCTTTGGTGAACAATAAATTTGTCATATATACATGTATACATGTATATACATTTAAATATATATTTAACATATATTGTATATGTGCATACATATAAATAAAAAACATTCACCAAGAAATAATTATAAATATCATTCTTAGTCTTACTGGCTCATTTTCTCTTGTCTCTGACAGTTTAGAACAGACAAAAGATTCGATTTTATTTAACTGGTATGCTTAATAGTATACTTTATTAAAGTGAAAATGATATCTTCCATTTATTTTTAAAAGTTCCTTACTGCGTGGACGTTGGCAATGTCATTGTTGGAGCAACGGTAGTAGTGTTGATACTGGGTGGTAATTGATTTTGCTGTTGAAGAACAGATGGATAGAAAGAAGTATCTTGCGGGAGAGAAGCGGTGACTGTAATAGGTGGCATTCCTGGCAGTGATATAGGTGTCGTTACAACATGAGCCATATTAAAGCCAGCAGTTGTGTTCATATTAGGAATAGGATTTTGCTCTCTCGACAATACTGGGACATTGATTGTGGTTGTATTATGAACAGAATTCTGCTCTCTCTGTTGCTCTGGGGCATTAATTGATCCACATGGTGCGGTTGAAACTTCATAAGAATGGATAACATTTGATGGTAACCCCGTAACAGTTGGCATACCAGGAATGTTTGGAGTTATTGGACAAGTGCCTAAACAATTAAATAGATGAATTAACAACGATTTAAATAATTAAATGTTATATGCGAAGATATATAAGCGCTATAAAATATACTATAAAATTCTTTTTTTTCTGCTGAAATTCTCACAAAGTACAAAATTGATAATAATGTTTTTTATTTATGATATTCCCACAAAGATTTTGATGTTTAACCAAATTTGGAGTAGAAACATAAGAAACATTCTGTAATTTATTACAAATTAACATATTAATTTGAAAAAGATCATCTCCAAATAACAGTTCTTTCGTAATTTTCAAAAATAAAAAATTTTTTTATTTTTAATTAAACAATACAAGTATTTATTATATATATATATATATAATAAACTAAGAAATTACTTAAAATCTGTGCTTACTGGATGCAAAACTGGTGGTGGGCTGATTCGAAAACATATGAGGTCCTGACCTGACGGATGTATAGCCACCAATAGTACCAGTGAAATTGACTTGATTTGCTGGTTGCATTTGCATTTTTGATCCAGGTCCAGGTATACTTTGAGCAGCTATAACTTCCTGTTCACTTTTTAAATTTTGTATTGAGCTATCCGTCGGAACAGTATAATTCGGTGTAATTAATCCGGGTGGTGTATTGACAATTGGATTGATTTCTGCCACAGTAACGGTGGCAGTCATTGCTGGTTGAGTTTGCATTACAGTATTCTAAAAAGGAAATATTCATAGAAATATTCTGAAATGAAAATATTGTTTGTTGTGTGTGTGTGTGTGTGTGTGTGTGTGTGTGTTTGCACACATGAAGTAGATATAAGTGTAATAATATAGTATAGCAGTTTCTGAATTTATGAAACTACTATCTATTATAATACTGTAAATCATGCATATACTTTTTAGACTATTCAAATATTTACACAAAAACATTATATAATTATGCAACTTTTTACCACATATGAACTAGCAGATTTCTGCTCTGGTACGCTTCTGACTGGTATTCTATGTAAGTATCCATATCCGATTCCACATCCCAAACTATTAAATAAATCCAAAAGAATTTAACATCTATACTCATTATCTAAAATATCTCAATTATCTACTGTATGAGAAACTATGTACCTTCCTTCTCCACCCCAAGTATTATTAGGTGTGATAGTCACTTCTCTACAGGAATCATTTTTAGTATTATATACATACAATTTGAGAGGTCGCGATTCGTGCGCCTCTATTAAAGTAAATAAATCCTCACTTTCATGGAGAATGGAGTCTGCTCCGATAATATAATCAGTGAACGGCCGTAAACCGGCTAATTCAGCAGGAGATGATGGATGTACTTCCTGCAAATATTAATACATTTTCACTATAATTTGCTATACAGAATTAATTTGAGGAATTCATTTTATATATGAACTTCACACTCACAAGTACATGCCAAACATTTTCGTTAGCGCCTTCAAATGAACAGAAACGTATACTGACACCTAATAAACCCTGTCCACCCCATGTCATACTCGGCACAATATTTGTCCGCCTTACAGATTGTGTTTTACTACTATACACTGTGATTGTTAATTCCTTATTTACACCAACCTTTAGAAGTTCCTTTAAAGTATCATTATCTTGATCCTAAAAAGAATATATATGTAGCTTTTTTAAATAGGGATATAACATAATTATTGTAACTGTATAAAATATTTTTTTGACTTTATTGACTTTATTACAGCAGAAACTACAAGTCAACATACCAGACGAGTATTGCCAATTGCCACTATAAAGTCAAAGAATGCTTCCAGTCCTGCTTGCTGCCCAGGAGACCCTTCCTGAACCTGTCAAAAAAGACAGAACATTTATTAATATTATAATTTTTTTGTATATCAACTAGATATATTTTTAATATGTATTTAGTATAAAGATTTGTTTTTTTACTACAGTCTTTATATTAGCAATTGATAAATTACATACTAATGAGATCAATTATAATAAGCTTATAATTAGAATATAATATAAGCCATAAGATATACAAATCATATTTATATTATTTATTTTTAGATTTCTTATTAATTTTTTTATAAAGACAGATAAAATACAATTTAACATTAAATTATTCAATTCTACAAAAAAATGGGCTTTATTCTGATAAACCAATAGTTTGATTAAAAAAAAAACCTGAATAAAAACATGGCAATGTTATATTTTATATTTTCATTTTGCTTTTAAATGTTCATGGAATCACTGAAAAATAATTTAAATAAATCTAGAATATCTTTTGCAAGGTAAAATAATGAAGTCAAACAATGACAAATCATGAATGACATTCCTCAATCAATATGTTAAATTTTGCGAATTGGGTCACAGAGAGAACAACTTAAATGTTTTATAAAAACGTAGATACTGTTCAAATATATCTTCCAAAAAGTTTTATTATTGTTCTCCGCAGTATATGTAGCAGAACAATTTTCTAAAAGTGGACAATACTTTGGGTGGTTACTCTTGACAGGTCACCTTACCCTCAATACATGGTAACCTTCTGTACCGCCTCCCGGTATCTCCACGCTGTGAGAGGATCCCATATCTGTCGAGAGAGCTTCTTAGGTCACTCGAGACGAACAAGTAAAAGACATTAAAACAATTGTCGAAAGTGTGACTTTACGAAAGACTCAAATAGCAAAAATACGTGGCACGACTGTCGTAACACAAACCAAGTGATGAAGTCACGACGGCCATGCAAACTTGCAGGGGTGCGTTCCAAAACGTAACTACAACTATGGTGGAAGTAACAAGATATGCTATTGCGCAGGCATTTTTGCTGGCCAATGAGAAAGCGTGACTGAACTCAGCCATCTTGGGCTTTTCAAATGCATATAATTAAGGGTGTAATCCACTTCACGCTGCAAATGCTTTGAAGCATTCTTTGATTGATTAGTTCGAAAAATTCTTTCTTCTGATTCAACGAAGTGTTTGCAGCGTTAAGTGGATCACACCCTAAGGGTGCTGTCCCATGACGGTCGGATTTCGGAAAACGGAATCTGGGAAAAGTACTAGACCGGAAAATACTAGACTAGAATCAGAAGTAAGTTAGCACGCGCAGTGATATACGCGTTGTGTTCGTTATAATTCATTACTTATATATTAATACTTATAAAATACTTATATATTAATCAATATTTACCGAAAAATTATTTATTAATAATTATTTTATTAACAATTACACAGGCCTGCAAAATTGGAGGCGTTGAAAGTTGATTGGGATTTAACTATGTTTTCTTACGTAATTTTTCGCGCTGAATCCGAATCCGGCGGCAGAATTGCTCTATCACGTCAGGTTTTTG